GGCCCGGCCGGGCTGCGAGCGCTGCGGCAAACCCTTCACCAGCGCCTCGTCGCTGCGGCGCCACGTGGGCGCGGCGCACGCCGCCGGCGCCGCCGCGCCGTTCAGCTGCTGGCGCTGCCGCTGCGCCTTCCCGTGCGGCGCGGCGCTGCGCGAGCACCTGGCGGCGCCGTGCCGGCCGCGGCCGCACCGCTGCCGCGCCTGCCCCAAGCGCTTCGCCTCGGCGCGCTCGCTGCGCAAGCACCGCCGCCTGCACCTGGCCGGCGCGCCGCGCTGCGCCGACTGCGGCAAGACGCTGCCCTCGGACGCCGCGCTGCTCGCCCACCGCCGCGTCCACACCGGCGAGCGGCCCTTCGCCTGCCCCGAGTGCGGCAAGGCCTTCGCGGCGGCCAAATCGCTGGGCAAGCACCGGCGGGCGCGGCACGGCACCGGCGGCGGCGGCGGCTTCGCCTGCGGCGACTGCGGGAAGAGCCTCTCGTCGCACGCGGCGCTGGTGACGCACCGGCGCATCCACACCGGCGAGCGGCCCTACGAGTGCCCCGACTGCGGCAAGGCCTTCATGGCCGTCAAGTCGCTCAGCAAGCACCGCAAAATTCACCGCCGCGGCAGCGGCGCGGCGACGGCGGCGCGGCCGGATTGCGGCGACGGCGAGGCGGCCGCGCCGTGCACGCACCGACGGCGGCAAAGCGGGGATGGCAAATTGGAGATGGCGCAGCAAACTGGGGATGGCGCCGGGGATGGCAAATCGGGGCCGCCGTGGCAAATCGGGAACGGCACCAAGGATGCCAAATTGGAGCCACCGCGGCACATTGGGAACGGTGCTGGAGATGCCAAATTGGGGCCACCATGGCACATGGGGAATGGTGTCATGGATGCCAAACCGGAGCCACCGCGGCACATGGGGAACGGCACCGAGGATGCCAAATCGGGGCCACCACGGCATATGGGGAACGGTGTCATGGATGCCAAACTGGAGCCGCCGTGGCACATTGGGAACGGCGCCGGGCTCGGCGCGGAGACCCCGGTGAACCCCGCGGCGCCGCCGCCCCGCGTGCGGCGCCGCCCGGCGTGCGAGGATTGCGGGAAGGCGTTCCGGGACGGCGCGGCGCTGCGGCGGCACCGGCGCGTGCACACCGGCGAGAAGCCGTTCGGCTGCGGCGAGTGCGGCAAGAGCTTCCGCGCCAGCTCCAGCCTGGTGATCCATCGGCGCAGCCACACCGGCGAGAAGCCCTACCCCTGCGCCCGCTGCGCCAAGAGCTTCGCCTCGCGCTCGGCGCTCATGAAGCACCTGCGCACCCACCTGCGCGACGGCACGGCGGCCGCGGCGGCGCCCTGACCGCGGGCGGTGGGTGCCAGGCCTGGGGATGGGTGAGATTTGGGTGCCAGGCCCGGGGATGGGTGAGATTTGGGTGCCAGGCCTGGGGACCGGCAGGATTTGGGTGCCAGGCCCGGGGATGGGTGAGATTTGGGTGCCAAACCCAGGGATGGGTGGGATTTGGGTGCCCAACTCATGGATTGGACGAATTTTGGATGCCCACCTCAGGGATTGGACAAATTNCCCGGGCCGGGCACGGGGGGCTCGGGACCCCCGGAGGGACCCCCGGGACCCCCCCGGGACCCCCCGGGACCCCCCGGGACCCCCCGGGACCCCCCGGGACCCCCGGGCCGAGGCCGCTCCGAGCGGAGCCGCCGCCGCTGACCCAGGAAGTGCCGCCCCAGGGGCGGGGCCGGCCCTTCCTCCTCCTCCTCCTCTTCCTCTTCGTCTTCATCCTCATCTTCATCTTCATCTCCTCCTCCTCCTCTTCATCCTCCTCTTCATCCCCACCCTGCTCTTCCTCCTCTTCCTCAGCTGCATCCCCAGCTCTTCCTCCTCCTCCTCTTCCTCAGCTGCATCCCCAGCTCTTCCTCCTCCTCCTCCTCCTCCTCCTCCTCCTCCTCCTCCTCTTCATCCTCAGCTTCATCCTCAGCTCCTCCTCCTCCTCCTCCTCTTCATCCCCACCCCGCTCTTCCTCCTCTTCCTCAGCTGCATCCCCAGCTCTTCCTCCTCCTCTTCCTCTTCCTCCTCTTCCTCTTCATCCTCATCTTCATCTTCATCTCCTCCTCCTCCTCTTCCTCCTCCTCCTCCTCTTCCTCCTCCTCCTCCTCCTCTTCATCCCCACCCTGCTCTTCCTGCTCCTCTTCCTCAGTTGCATCCCCAGCTCTTCCTCCTCCTCCTCCTCCTCCTCCTCCTCTTCGTCTTCATCCTCATCTTCATCTTCATCTCCTCCTCCTCCTCTTCATCCTCCATCCCCACCCTGCTCTTCCTCCTCTTCCTCAGCTTCATCCCCAGCTCTTCCTCCTCCTCCTCCTCCATCTTCATCCCCACCCTGTTCTTCCTGCTCCTCTTCCTCATCTTCATCCCCTCCCCGCTCTCCTCCGACACCGGGGCTGCTTCACAGGAATTTAAAAAAAAAAAAAAAAAAAAAAAATAAAAAATTTAAAAAAAAAAAAAAAAAAAAAATTGGAGCTGTGAGGGAATAAAGGGACATCGCCCCTTAGCGCCTCCCTGACCAATCAGCGCGCGGGAAACAAAGAGTGACGGAGCGCGCAGCCAATCGGGATGAGCGGTGCGGTTTGGGCGGGAAAATCAGCCAATAGGAGCGAGGGGCGGGCTCTGCATGGCGGGGGGGGTTTGTGAGGGGCAAGAAGCCCAAAAATGGCCGGGGAGGAGCGGGCCCGGGCAAGGGCCGGAGCCGCTGCCGCCAAGGGAGCGCGGGGCCGCCTCACAGGAATTTAACCAAGAATAAATAAAAATAAAAATAAAATAACGAGGCGAAAGCCGCGCCGAGATCGGGGCCGTGAGGGAATAAAGGGGGATCGGCCCTCAGCGCCGCTCTGACCAATCAGCGCGCGAGAAGCAAAGAGTGACGAGGCGCGCAGCCAATCGGGATGAGCGGTGCGGTTTGGGCGGGAAAACCAGCCAATGGCGGCGAGGGGCGGGATCCGCGCGGGGTATATAAAGAGCTGTGAGGGGGGAGTGATGCTCAAACGGCGGGAGAGGAACGAGGCCGAATTCAGAGGCGACAACGCCGTTCCTCCCTTGCAGCATTTCCCATTGTTTTATTCTGCAAAAACCCCAAAAAAACCCCCAAATTTAGCCCTAGAAATGTTTTTCAAACACTGGAATTTGAATTTAACCAATTTAACCAATTTTTAACTCGATGGTAACGGCGGTGATGCAAAATTCAGAGGTGACAACGCCGTTCCTCCCGTGCAGCGTTTCTCATTGTTTTATTCTGCAAAAACCCCCCAAATTTAGCCCTAAAAGTCGCTTTTTCAACCACTGGAATTTGAATTTAACCAATTTTAACAATTTAACCAATTTTTAACTTGATGGGGACACAGAATTCAGAGGCGACAACGCCGTTCCTCCCGTGCAGCGTTTCTCATTGTTTTATTCTGCAAAAAACCCAAAAAAACCCCAAATTTAGCCCTAAAAGTTGCTTTTAGACCACTGGAATTTAGAATTTAACCAATTTTAACCAATTTTTAACTCGATGGGAACGGCGGCGACGCAGAATTCAGAGGCGACAACGCCGTTCCTCCCGTGCAGCGTTTCTCATTGTTTTATTCTGCAAAAACCCCCAAAAAACCCCAAATTCAGCCCTGAAAGTCCCTTTTCAACCACTGGAATTTGAATTTAACCAATTTAACCAATTTTTAACTCGATGGGAGCGGCGGCGACGCAGAATTCAGAGGGGACAACGCCGTTCCTCCCGTGCAGCGTTTCTCATTGTTTTATTCTGCAAAAACCCCAAAAACCCCCAAATTTAGCCCTAGAACTGTTTTTCAACAACTGGAATTTGAATTTAACCAATTTAACCAATTTTTAACTTGATGGGGACACAGAATTCAGAGGCGACAACGCCGTTCCTCCCGTGCAGCGTTTCTCATCCTTTTATTCTGCAA